ATTGGTTCTATATTCTAAATCTAAATAACTTTTTAGACTGACAGACTGAATGTGAAGCAAAAACTCCTCATTCTCAGACAAACAAGTTGATGTGTGAAGGTACTGCTACAAGAGTCCGTCTGAATTATACCGGATCACAACAGCTACGGAGCACAGCTCCAACCGCTCCATATCATCAAACATTAATGCACAATAGACCTTATCATGTCAGTAGCAGACGTACATCCCACAACCCATGTGTGACCATATCAGTTTATATTATATTTTTGCATCATTATTCCGTATTTTGAAATCATAATGGATTAGAATTGTTGAGATAATCTGTGGTTCTGTTCTTACAGCGTTACTGTAACATCAGGTTTCATTTTAATTTTCAGGCATCCAGAAGTTGGACCCCAAAGGCCTTCTTCCTTTGACCACAAAGCAGTGGACCTCCACTGCTCACAACAGGGTGGACCCATGGCTGCTGGTTCTTACCTTCATGCAGTTGCTCTGACCCTTCAAACAGGACCAGTTTGCCTTGAGAGCCCCTGCCATCCTCAAACTCCCTCAGAGAGTGGAGCTCTTTGGATCACCCTGACACTCAAACCCCTCTTAGAGTACAGCTGCTGCTCCGTTTGAGATGGTCTGGGCATCTGCTAAGGTGTAAGTTGTTTCAGGCAAGTCCTGCTGAAAGGAGACAGATCCAGGACAGACTGAATGGATTATGGGGCACATTTACAAACAGTCTGCACCAGAACAAAACCCTCTTTGGCTGTTGAAAATCTACTGTCAATATTTACTAAAGAGCTGCAATGTCACTTTTCCCACGGCAGGATGGTTCAAAGCTCTGACTGCAGTGCCTTAGCTTTGGCTGTGCCCTGTAGCGCTTCACCAATTCCTCTTCCTGAGTCTTTAGTTTGGTTTCCTTTGTTTAATGCATTGCTTGCTCTCTTGCCCTATCAGTGTTGTGTGAATTTGCCCAGCTTAGTATATCAGGACGTGCATCTTTTGCCTGTGCATTCTGCTACAGAAGCTGAAGTGACAGATAGGCAGAGGGAGGTCAGACTGCTACCTCCATGACTGGACTATTGTTCCACATAATTCACACATAATTATCTACTTTCTCCATAACCAACCAACCAAATATAAGGCTGCTGCTACCTGTCAGTCACAGCTTAATGAAACTGCAGCCAAACAGGAAGGAACATTTACAAATACGTAGTACTTTGGTAGATGCAGCTCCAGTCAGTCTAAGAATAGCACATAAAAGGCTTTCTGGTATCTGACAACACAAGTGATTATGTATCTCTTTTTT